GGATACTTTGGATGTCATGTTTATTACTTATATTATGTAAGTGACACTTTTAAAGGTATTGTCCTATTTTGACATAAATTAGTACCTGATTATATCTATCTGTAGATAGAAATAGATGGACGGACACACAGAGTCTTACTGATTCCTTGTTCACGTGTACACACCTTTTCTCACCTGTTTGCAGGCAGGGATGCTTTCTAACACCTCTTTTGCACCTGATACAGCCTAAAATAGTATTAGACCTATGGCAGATGCTCAGTAAGTACCTGTTATTTGCTCTCTGGGTTAAAGAGGGACAACAATGGAGTAGAGATGCTGCATCAGGAATGCCAGTTGGCTGGTCCTCCCAGAGTGGCCCTTTTTGGAGTGTTTCTCATGGCACATGCCATAGAAGCCCTACCAGCCACTGGACCTTGGGAGTTCTCAAAACTAAAGAGTCTCAGAGAGACTGACTGGCTCACAGACTCACAAGAAAATGATGTGTATGTCAGAATGCCAATTAATGCTAATAAATAAAGACAGAACGGATGACCTCTCTCTTCAGGGCCTGTGGAGCTCTCATTTCCCAGCCAGGGTACCCTCATCCCCTAAGCCAGAATGCCAGGAAGCCTTGGTCACTAGAGACTGCTTCATGATGAGTCAGAGCAAAGGGGGAGGAGAGAAAATCCTGAGGAAGATTTCACCCCAGGCAAAGCAACACCTTGTTTGGTGGAGAGAATACTCATCACGACGCAAGACTGAACAAACCCTGAGATTCGAGGTCTATCTCATCTGGATATTCCTGGATGCTTAGTGCCAACCCTGGACTTGTCTTCTACAGGTCCATTCTTTTTTCAGACTTACTAAGACCATCAATGATTTGGACTAAATGCTTGTGTCCCCCCAAAATTCATATGTTGAAATTCTAACCACTGAAGTGATGGTATTAGATGGTGGGGCCTTTGGCAGATAATTAGGTCATGACAGTGCAGTCCTCATAAATGAGATTAGTACCCTTAATAGAAAAGACACAAGAGAGCTTGCTTTTCCCCTCTCTCCATTGTGTGAGGATACAAAAAGACAGACAGCTGCAAAA